GTAACAATCAAGTTTCCTGATACTGACAAGTATATCCTGGGGAGGAAGAATATACAATCACCTCAGTTAAGAACAACTGCTGTACATCCTTGTAAACATTGTTCCTTTTACCTGAAATAATTTTACCCCATCTCTCTTGCTCAATTTTCAAAACCTATCTTATGTGTTACAGCCAATGTAAAGTGTCCAAGTCATAGTAATTCCTTCTTCTTACATTACTCACCCTGTTTTTCTAATGACATATGAAATTTGTATTTTATATTCCCACTCTAAGATAATGTGAGCCTCCATCTTATTTCTTGTAATTTTACTGATTTTAGATTTTTCAACAAAGGTCTATTGATAAAAGACAATGAATTTTCTGTAAAAGCACCCATAAAGTAGCCCTCCCATTACCAAGGAGAAGCTAGCTCAACGAAGGACACCTCACACCAAACCACCAATAACCCTCCAGTTTTTTTTTTCTTTTCTTTCTTTTTTTTTGTCTATGCTCCTGAGAAATGGGAATTAAATGCACTAAACCTGGCCCTCAGAATATCTAGTTCTCTAACATATCCATTTGGTCTTTGTTTAGATTTACCTATAAATCACACAGTAGTTGAACAAGTTTTTCCATCATGAGTTATTCCAAAATGTTTTTGGGATGTCAACAAGTAAAACACAGAAATAAAAAATAAAAATTTTATACTGTGAAAACCATATTTCATGAATAAAAATGAAAATCAATTTGATTTTATCTACATTGAGTAGCAATTTTCAATGATTCTATGTTAAATCAGCATCTCGCCAAATATTTCAAGAGATTTCATTAAATTTCCAAAAGAAAAATTTGAAAAATCGGTCTAGTTTTGTGTACATGTACATTATGCATCTAGATTATATATAATATACATGTATGTGTACATATACATGTGTGTGTGTGCATATGTCAACATATCTGGGAGAAAGGTAAATGAACTATAAACCTCAAAATACAAAACAGCAACAACAACAAAATAATGAGTGTAACCAAAATAGGCTGAAAATCACTGACAGAGAGAAAACTCTAGAATGTTCTGTGCCCCAAGGCTTGTTTTCCATATCAGATTTATCCATTCTTTCTTCACTCTTAGAACTGGCTTTGATAGTTATAACTTAAAAACAAAAATTTAAACATTGACAATTTTTAAAGTATTAGTTCCCTATTTCCACTGAAATTAATAATTTTAATTTACAGTTTTTCTACAAACAACTGAAGGTAAAAAGGACTTTCAATTTAGAGTCTTTGGTCAACTCATAGAGCAAGGCAATTAATCAGGAAAGCAGCATCTACCTACACTGGATTGGAGAAACATCATAGAATATGCAAATTCAATATCCTCATGGCTGACAAATTTCTATCATTAAACTGCTAACATGTTTATTTCCCCCACAATAGCTGGATTTTTGTCATGAATACACATTAAACCCTGCAGTTATTAGCTGTGATGACTAGGTGACAGTGAGGACACTACTTGAGACTTTGCATTTGACAGATCATTGACACACAGTCACAGTTCTTTTTTTTTTTCCTCTTCACTTAAACAAGAATCATGCAATAGGAAATGAAATACAGCTATTAGAGATTATTCAGGTTTAATAGCACACATCCTTTTAGCTGGCGGTTAGAACAATACACAATGTGGCAGAGTTAAACAGAGGCATCAATTATACTCTCAGACCTGTTAATATTTTTGACAATATTTAAATAGCACATCCCTTCAGGGCATGGCTCTTTTGCCCTCTCAGTTACACACCTGTCAAGTATTTAATTTGCCAAAGGGAAACAGTTTGATTTCTAAAGGCAGTCTTAATACTGAAGAAGCAAACTGGAAAAATTAAACATTACTGAATAGAAGTAATGAGAATGATATGAGAGGGTGAAAAAGTGCACTTAATTCAACATGACATGTCATCATCTGTCATTAATGCAACAATATGATCATGTTCTCCAATATGTTGCATATACCTCAGGTTTTTCAATTTCTAAAGGATAGGAGAATGAGAGTGGAATAAAAATCACAGGTATCAAATTACCCGGTAACACTGGAAAAATGGAGATAGAAATTCACACCTATCATGTATATGAAATTATACACTGAAAAACACAATTAGGGAATAAATAAATAAAAGCTTGCCATTAATCAAATTTCTGTAGTTTCTAGATTTAAAACAAAAAGCAAAATTCAGTCCTTAGGTGCAGTTATTAAATTATAAATATTAAACTTGTAGTTGATAGGCTATATAGAAAATTTAAATCTAACATGATAAAGTTCAGAATATTTGTTTAAATTATAAAGCAAAATCAAATGTCTTGAAAATTTATTCTAATCAAAGAATCTTATTAAATAACAAATGAATTAGAAAATAATGGAAAGTCACAATGAGTGTGAGAAGTTAAACATGGTGTTAATAGAAATGATACTCTTAATATAGTATCTATAAACGTTGATTTATAATGATACACACATGAAACTTATTACTTCAGTAGGAAAAAAAAAAATACAGGGAGGAGAGGGACATTTGATAGTGAAGACTACAATGTGAGAAATCTGAATGATGTTGCCATAAGCCAAGAAATGTAGGCAGCCATCAGAATGGGGAAGATAAGAACAGTCTCCCTTAGAGCCTCCAGAAGGGGTTAGCTCTTCAAACACCTTGATTTCAGCTCCATATGACTAAATGTTTATTTCTGGCAAACAGAATTGTAATATCACAATTTTTTCTAATTTAACAAAAAATACATTTTTCTCATCTAGGGACCAAATCTCTAAGCAAATATAAGAGGAAAATATAAGATATGAGATAGGCTGCAGATATCAAAAAAAAAGGGAAAGATCCATGCCGGGAGTAAAGAAAAATCCGTGTTCTAGTTCTGGCTCTACCTTTACAAACAAATTTTTACTCTTGAGAGGGTTATTCTCTAATAAGCAGGGTGTGGGCCAGTTGGTTTTCTTGGTCACTTTCAGTATTAATTCCCCCCTTTATCTGAAAAGGTGAACAGTAAGTTGAAAGTCCGAAGTATGTAAAATATGCCTACAGAATCACAAACCTCCAAATTTCATTACTAGTCCTGAAATATATCTGTGTGAATCATCAATACAGCAGCAAGAAGATCACATTGTACTTTAGTTTCAGATTCAATAAAATTATTCTCAATAGATTTCCAAGGAGATTCTCAAATGTATCAAATGAGACAGTTTTAGAACCCTTTATTTTACTCCCATGGTAAAACAACACCAACCAGGCCTATTTTTCCCCTGCTTTCAGTAGATATGGTCGGTACAAATGATATTCTCCATATACAAGGCTGCCTATAAGGAAAACTTAGGCAACACTCTCACTGGAGTAATTTTTGTTTCTACTCTACCTTTCATTTTAATCATATTTTCATAAAACAAAGTAAGTAGTGAAGATATCTGCTAAACTTGGTCACACTCTCTGAAAAACCAGATAATTTCCAACATCATAATTTTAACTAATATATTCTGCGTATTAGTTTCTCCAAAAGCCAGTCTATTCTGAGAATGAGAACCTAAACCCAATCATTTCCATTACCTGCAAAGATAAACACAACTACATATAACAAAAACACCTCTTTATTTCTTCATGATGACTCTTACATTAAGTGAAATATTCGTTATTGAAAGACATCTTGAAGGATTACTCTTGTGTTTTTGGCAACTAAAATATCTAGATTACGAAGTTATATGAGGGCCTCCCTGGTGGAGCAAGGGATTAAGCACAGAATTGTGAAGCTATCCACAGCCTCTGCAACATTAGTCTGATCCCCCAGGGGCCAGGGAGCTACCCACATGGCATAGCAGACTTCTCCTGTCTTGCCTGCTGTTCCTTTCTGCATGTATTTTCAGTCAGTCTGCCTGTTCTGTACCCCACTCTGTCTCTAATGAATCTTCTCACCCCCTACCCCGCACCTCTGGCCTGTACCCCAGTACTTGTATGCATAAATAAATAAATCTTTAAAAAAAGGAAGTTACAGGACATTAAATTACTTCTCTATTTTTACTATTTATTCTGCATTTTCCAATTTCTGTTTTATTTTTCATATTGGAACTATTTTTCCACTGAATGATGAACCTATTCTTCAAATTTAATTTTTAACCTTTTAAGGCAGACTAATCCCATGTCCACTAGATTAATGCTAAAAACATCAAAATGAGAATTAACCTGGACTGAAGGTATAATTAGACTTACTTGAATCCTTGTAAGGATAAAAACCATTTTAAAAAGTTTTTTAAACCTGAGAAATGGCGGTGAAATTAAGTAAGTTCAAAGAACATCTGACATCAGTTTTCATTCTGTCATTGTGATGTTTCGTTTGTAATATAAATGCGAGGGCTTTTTAATGCTCATAATTTTTACAGAAAAAAAAAAACACTGTTACATTTAGAAGTTCTAATGTTTATCACCATCTGATGCTGTCATGGAAGCAATTGCTACTTACACTCTTTTAAAAAGTGAGAACTGCAATTCATCTAACTGATGACAATGTAATTATTCTTTTAATGTCAAAATAGAGGTGATTTCCCTTCCTCACACACGATTACACATGCAAATCCAGCCTTATCTGAAATCTTCTAAGCGTGCTGAATGTCTGAATCTGAATGAGCAAGATCCTATGAACAATAAGCCTTGGTGACGATGTAACCCAAATTTATAGCTATCCACCCTTAACATATTTTTATTGTCCCCTTCTCCTGTAGGAACTCATTCTTCAGCATGCACACAGCTTTCAACACAATGTCATATCATCTACAGTACACAGCAACAACCATTACAAAAATAACCAAGGGGGCAGGGGAGCCGCAGCCACAGTGAATCTGAATGTCTTGTTTGGAGGTTTAAATGACTTCATTAACTATTCATTAACACACAAAAATCAGCCTCTCAGATTAGATACAAATCTTTTTTAAGATCCATGCCATGCAGTGAAGTATGTTTTGGGGTGAAGGATGTCCTACCTGGTCTTTCAGTTGCTGTACAGAAGTTTGAAGGTTCAGAATCTGAGTGAAGAGCGGACTCTGCAAGACCGACTTCAGAAGGTTCAACTTGTCTTCATTTACTACATCTCCACGTTCTCTTAGTTTGGCTTGCAAGCGCTCTGCTGCCTGCAGGGCTCGATTTTTATCTATACCAAAGAGCGGCATTAATCAGTCACAGGATTCAAAGGACACACATCAACCCATGCCACAGAAATCCTAAAATTATATTCCTTTGAAAGCACAAAACTGATTGGGTGGGGGGGAGAAGAGGCACTGTAACAGATCATAATAAATATGTCCCTCAACTTTTATGCTTCTTATAAGACTGTTTGAACGCAGGGAACTAATTATGGTATACACAATAAGCAAGAAAATATAAAGAACAGAAAGTAATTCAAATGAAGTACAGTTGAGTTCTAACACTAGCTATTTCAAATCTTCTTTTAAAACTGCTGAAGGCCAAATGCTCTGTGACCTTACAAATACTGATATCTTACTTCTTAGAAGATTTTATTTTCACATAAAAATATAACTAAATTACTGATAAGTGAATATGGGAAATGTCACCAATGAGTCACAATATGCAAAATATGACAATTTCATATACCAAGGGGCAATGCATTCTATAATTGAGTATTTGAAAAATACCGCAATAATGTATCTCCATCTAAGAACATTACTTTTTAATAAATGTCCTTCCAAAAGTTAAGTAGTGTATTTACATAATGATCATGTTATCGATTAGCACAAAATTACAAAAGTAACTATTGTGAGTAAATGCATTCCTAATAATCCTAGAGATTACCAATGGACATAACCCCATAGTGTCCACTGGACAGTTAAATTTCTACCATAACATATTTTAAAACATCTCCATAAAACACACATATACACACACTTAAACTTTGTTTTTTATTAAAGAAATAGAAACTGATAAATAACTAGTGTATCTACAGAAATGTATTTTTCATATAGTAATAACCAAAAGGGTTGGAATATAACTAGAGATACTTTTTAACAGTACCAAGTTAAAACATAATGTTACCCGAGTTCACACATACACAAATTTAAACAAACAATATTTACTCAAGCACAGAAAAGTTAAAAGCAAATAATGAAAAAGATATGCATGAGAATTTTTTGTGTTATATATCCCACTGTATCCCAGAATGAAAATTTAACACTAATCCCTTATCAAAAAAGGTATATAATCTAGTAATAGCTAACAGAAAAAGACTGAAAGGTAATGGCTTAAATATTCTATATTTCCCTTTGCTGTCCACTTTCTTATAAGGAACTTTCATTCACTGACTAGTAATCTTTATGATATGAGACTTTAGTATAAAATGGGTGATGAAAGAAATGAACACTTATGTGTTTTCATGTTATCAGCATACTAAGAACAAAAGTCAAGGTAATCATCCCACAAAACAAAATCAGTTCCTTCTCCTTTTTCCACTTCTCATTCTCACCTTACCCCTCAAAACATCAGGTATCAAGACAGTAGCCACAATCATCAGGATGCTGAAGTGATACCTAGAAAGCTTCCAGTAACCATATCCAAATAGTTTTCTGAGAAAGGTGAGGATGAGGGCATCAGATGAGCGACAGGAGGGACTGTACCAGACCTGAAATAACAAACTACTTCTATGATCTAGTTTCTCTAAAACTAAAGAATAATCTGAAGAAAAGATTAATATATTAGCATGGAAAATCTGGATGTTTCAAACAAAATTATCTCAGTAGAAATTAAACTGCCTTGAATCATCACTGAAGTTTATTAGCCTAAGTGTTTGTTACTGTTATTAACATAAAAGTAAAACTCGGTAATATTTTAATTGTTATAATAGAAAACACAGAGTAAAAGAAATGGACAATGATCTTCTTTAGTATTAAAAATACTGTTAACATTCCAGTGTTATCCAAAAACAAATGTTAATCAGAATGGGTTTATGTTAATCTTTAATAAACCCCATAATTGACAGACTATATCATACATTTTTTAACTTTTGCTTATAAACAACATGCTATTTATAACACTTCAGAATGAAATCTGTCCAAATAGAGAAAGGCATTACCTTGGTTCAGTGTTAGTGGATAAAAACTCTTTAATGTTAAGTTAAAGACAGAATCCTGGTATGTACAACACAGTATATTTTAAAGATCCTAATAGAAGTTCTTTTTCATTAATCAAAAAAATAGGACTTACCAATAGTTTCTAACATTTTTTTCAAAGTTCGGTGTTCTTTTCTACAATGATTATAAGCAGCAACAAAAATGGAACTCTAAGGAGAAAAGAAATAAAAAGGAATGATATGTTTATCAGAACTTTATAATTATTCTAAAACTAATTACTCTAAAAAGCACTTAACACTATAATTCCTTTAACGAACTTAAGATAATTTTCTTTACAGAAAATGATAGTTTTGAATTTATTCATATTATATTGGAGATGATATTTCCATGGTAAGATGAAAGGCATAAAATCTTCTTTAAATAAGATGGTAGAATTATGAAGAGTACATCCTTAAGTGCTTCTTAACACAAGTCACTATAATCTTAGATTTACTTACAGATCCTTACCACAGAGTAAGGAGCTTACTTGAGTCTGCATGAGAAATTCTGTGGGCAAAAAATTTTAAATGTAAAATGTACAAAGTGTGATTCTGTACTTAAATATCCACAGTCTAACTGGGTAACAAAACACACACATTGAACTGAATAGAAATGATTTGTGACACTCAAGTATTATGAGTCACTGGAAGATAATACATTAAGTTACAAACAAAATTTAAAAAAAAAAAACTGAATGAGAGCCCATTATTAAATAAAAAAAAGTTTCAAAGGATTTCAAAATACCCTTCTGACTATAACATTCTCTTTTTCTCATTCAAAAAAACCTCACCTCCTTTAACCTCAAAAACATCATTTTTGAACAGTAATCTAGACACTTAAAGTACTTAATAGACCTCTCCATTTGCAATGTCCACATCACTAACCCATCTTTGATGTTTGCTGTCCAAAATTTAGCACCATCTCCATAGTTATTCCTATCCTTTGCATTGCAGAAAACTCTCAGTCATCATGAAATGTACCAGTCATTCCTTCAATGGAGAAAAGTAATCTATTATCAGGCATTCTCATTTTTCATTTGTGCAACAGAATTTCTCTGAGAAGAAACAAGTTACCCCTGTTATCTCTCTAAGAGAAAATGTATTTGCCAGGTTCAGAGGGACGTAGATATGTGTGGAGTATGCAGAGAAAAGTACACATTAAACAGTTTCTAAGAAAAACATTGAAGTCAAAAAGTTCACCGATGAGTCAGTTATGTGGAAACACTGTTTTTTTCCAGAGAAACTCTTATAATAAAGGTATTAAAAAAAAAAAAAACCCTCAATTCAACTGCAAGTCACTGACATTAGATCCCAGATAAGAATAAAAAAAAAAATAGTTTTAGACTCTCTTCTTCTCTGATGTCCCAAAGGAAAAATAAAAAATTATTTTTATGAGATTCTCCAGAAAAATGCACAATTAGTAGCCATGACAAAGAGAAGTTAAAAAAAAAAAATTGTCCCTGTCTACACCCAATATTCCATACCAAGGATTCAGTTCTAAGTTTCAACAAACTCGTTTGCAATCACGGAATTGTTAAGATGGACAGATTAAATTCAGTCTCATCAAACTGAAGACAGGAATTATCCTTTTCGGTCCACTGCCATCCTTCCCTCTCTATCCATCCCAACACTACACAGAAATAGAAGGGAACCTGAGTGATAACATGCATCATTGCCACTGGGCAAAACTTAAAGAAGAGCCATTACATGTCAAAAGAATGACAAGTATTGGTTGCTTTGGGGGGAAATTCATACTAATAGTGAGGATGCTGAATCTGAGAGGCAGCATATAGAAAAAATGAGATATGAATGTAAAAACAAGAAGAATGACACTAATGCTGGGGCAGAAGTAACAATAACAAACACTTGCTGGATACTAGTCAAAGCATGTTATTCAATTAAGTCCTTGAATCCTCTTAAGAGGCACACTTACAAATGAGGAAACTTAGCCACAGAAAGGTTGTTATTTGCCCAATATCACAATACTAATAAGTGATGAATCCAGGATTTGTACTAGGAGCAGTTTGGTCCTAGTGTCAATTAACAATTTAACTTCTATAATATGTTGCCTCTTGATAGAAAGGAAGATTCTCCCTATCATTCTCTCTGATCTTTCCAAGTTCAAAATTGGGTAGACCCTGCCCAACAGAAGAAACCAAAGGAAGAAACAGAGACCCAAGGAGAACAAAATCTTAAACGGACTGGTATAGCCTATTCAACATAGCCAACAAACCATAGGAATAAGTCAGAATAAAGGATATTAGAAACTATGAGTACATATCTCAAAGAAAGTTCAATCAGTACTAGACATGGTTTTTATAATGTTCATGGAAGCTAAGACAAATAACTTTTAAAATCTAAGAGGTAAAGAAAAATCATGCCAAAATAACAGGCTTCCTTATATTAACATTCAAAGCACATAAAAAAAAAGGCCATTACATTTCAAGTTACTATGTCCCTCAAAGCAACGAGAATAAGCCTATGACAATAATATAAAAATTGTTAGTTCCCTCTACCTACTGTTCATGTATATTACTTGCAGCCATCACTATGGATATAACTGAACCTGTCTGTTTGTGGAGTCATGACACTCAGAAGTATAAGACATATCAATGATGGCTCAGTGAATTCTGAACCTGTGAGGCATATAATGCTGAGCACACATACTATGTCAGGCAAGTAGGTACGGACCTTTTATTAACCATCTTGCTTGATACAGCATCTTCCACTGCCTAGCACATTATTGTTTCCATATTCCAGAAGAGACAAAAGAGGAAAGGAAAGAGCCATGACTTTACACCAGTAATGTAACTAGTAAGCCAGAAGTGTTAGATTTGGATCCAACGCTGCCTGATTTCAAAACCCACTCATGGGCACTCTACCACACTGGCACCTATTTTCCAAATTGTCCTGCAAAAATAACATGGTACAAATAAGCTGTTCAATGGCGAAAAACATTCAGGACAATGCATTAAGTTGCTAAGTACAACGTTGCTACTATTTGCACAAAAAAGGGGAGGGAAATTGCTCAAATAAAAATAGCAGGGGTGCCTGTATCTATAAAAGCATAGACTAGTCTTACAAAATTTCCAAAAGATGCTTTTAATGGCATGGGGGTGGAGAGAGGCAGGTATGGAGGACGTCAAGAAAAACTTATTTGGGCTATATTTCTTTTGTGCCTTATAAAATTTCGTATTACTCTAAAAGTGCCATATTTAGCAAATAAAATCAGGATACCTAGTTATATTTGAATTTCATATTAATGACTTTATAGTGTAAGCATATCATATTCAATACCTGGGACAGATTTATGCTAAACGCTAATTTGTTGGTGATGTGATGCTCAAATTTAAGCAAGCATCCATTATTTCATCTGGCAGCCTTACTTACGTATATATTAGCCTAGTAAGAAATCAGATTCTTCAAATTATGTTTTATTTAAGGTCCTTATGACTCCTGGAAAACGTTAATATAACAACATAGTTGCCAAATCCTTTATAAATCTCTAAAGATTTTACATGTGACTATATAACTGATGATCTGGTTGAACACACTACTTTCAACAACGGATAAGTATCAAACATGACATCTGATTATATTTAGAAGCAGGAACAGGTTAATTGACAATCAGTTTACTTTTCAACAAGTTGTACTGGTAAAATGTAGGCCAAACTTTCATATATAGTAGAGAATCAGTGCTTGAAGCATAAAACAAATCTTTCTGCCCAATGCAGATTATATGGCAACTAACAAGTGGCAATGTTTTATACTAAAAATAACTCTAAGAGAAAGTGTTCCAAATGCATACAATTTTCTAGTTATCTTAAACAATTTTGATGAAAAAGAAGTACAACGTTAAAAGAGCTTGCTGCAATGGTTTGTAGCTTGTCAGTCGTTCAGCATCTGTTACTGCATTTAAATTTAGCATTTGTCTCATTCATAGCTGCCTCAGCACTACCTGAAATTAGCAAAAGCAAGACTGCAGACATTTGCAGGTAGTTTGACAAAAAGCTATTTGATCATGACAGCAAAACTTACACTTCCAGTCAGAATTCATATTCTAGGATAACATCACCAAACTATTGCTCTAAAAACATAAGAACGTCACACTACCCACCAACATCATGCTGTCATCCAACAGAAAGCAGTCTTTTCTGAGCATCTGTTCTTTTGAACTTCTCCCACATTTTCATAGGCTTGATCAAAAAAACATTTATGAACATTTTTTTTTTAATTTTCAAGTTGACATTTATGAATATTTCCAAATTGCTTCAATAATAAGAGTATAGTAATTCTATTTTGCTCCTGAAAATCAAAGAAAATCGAATATCAAGGAACCTTACCTCTACAACATATTTCAAACACTGATTGATAGTCCTGTGTTTCCCTTATAAAACAAAACCACAAATTACTGACCTGAGTGAAAAATGCTAAGGGGCCACAGGATTAGGAAACAGCTTCTATTCTGTTGTCTAGTGATTCAACAACAGGCAGGGGTGCCTACAGGACCGGCTTGTTGCTGGGTGGCAGAATTAGAGAAGTGAGAACACAGCAAGGGAACGCACAGGTAAGTGAATGGAATAAAAACAAGTAAACAGACAATTAAAATATACAACGACAAAGGATGAACAAAACTCAAAAAAGAAGAGTTAAGAAAGCTTCCCGGAGGCAAGAACACCTATACAGCATTCAAAGTAACGGACAGAAGTCAGAGCTGATGGAGTGATAGAAAAAATCTCTACAGATGCAGAGCATATAGTAGCTTCAGAGAACTGCAAGCAGTTTTTTATATCTGGAATGGGAACTGACAGAAAAGTAAAGAGAGATGATGAGGCTAGAAATGTATGTAAAAGCTAACTTACTGAGATCCCTGCATACCATTCTTCAAGAGTTCAGATATATAAATTTTAAGTTTATTTTGGTACAGTGAATGACATAATCAAGATTTGTTTTAGAAAGATACTCTAATCATGGTCTGGGAAGCAAGAGAAATGGGAAACACAACAAAAGCCCTGGGTAGGAGATATTTAAAAAATAGAGAATAAAAGCGAAAAATAAATAAAAATGGGAGAAAGATTCAAGCATTGATGAAAACCTATGAGCAATGAGATCTGGTAATATGGAAATAAGATAGATGAGTTCAGGATGAATCATAGTTTTTCTGCTTGAAA